GCGAGGTGGGCGCCAGTCCGTGTGTCCGTACAGATCGCCACAAGCTCACCCCCATGAGTAGTCACAATGACAAACTGGTCCTGGAGGACAGCGGTACCCACCAAGTTCTTAGCGAACGAGGGGAGGTGGAAACCTGTGAGGGAGCCAGAAGGGGTTGCCGGACACGGGAGAATGGTGGAGGCACATGCAACGACTGGACCCCCAGAGGGGTCAGCCGGAGTGACAGAGACAGGTGTAGTGAGCGGTGTGACCGTGGTGCAGTCGCAGAAGAAGCAGCGAGTCGCGCCGGAGTCAAGCGTGAAGGTGTGCAAAGCCTCTACAGGAGCTGCACCTGTGCTAGCAGGCTCACAGGCACCTAGACTAGCAGCCTCTACACCTCTAGGGACTGTCTCCTGCTGACACTGCTACCGCAGATGTACACCCCCAGAACCTCCACCCCTACCAGCTGCACCACCTGTACGAGCAGACGCACAGGTACCTAGACTCGCCTCCTCGACCAGCTGCTGCACCTCCCCTAACAACGGACGGTGCTGCCGTAGAGGCCGGGTGGCAGGAGAGAGGGAGGAGTAGTGTTTAACCACAGCATCGTAAAAAGACTGGGCCGACTTCACCTGGTGAAAGTGGGCCCGCTGGTCGACCGGTAGGTGAGCTCGGACGGCAAGTTGTGCGACAGCGTCGCGCTCCGTCCACTGTGTGTAGGCAAGGCGGTCCGCTCGGTACCGGCACTGCACGTCCTCTCCAGCGTCAGCAGCCGGCTCAGTGGGAGGCGTGGGGGCCTGAAGGGGCCCCGACGTGTGCTCGAGTAGGGAAACGCAGTCTCTAACGAAACGCCGGAGATACCGGCGCAGGTTGGTGAGCCACAACTCGAACATAAAAGGGTGCCTGTCTGCGTCAACGGCTAGGACAGTGATAGTGGCCATGACAGGCGGTGGCAGTCAGCAGTAGCGGCGCAAGGGCTGCAGTAGCGACTGCTGCAGCTGCAGCTGTAGCAGTAGCGGTAGTCGCTGTAGTGGCAGGTGCTGTGGATGCAACAGGAGTAGCGACTGTTGGAGTGGTTGTAGAGGCAGTGGCTGGGCACGCGCGCTGGGCACTAGGGTGCGTGGGCAGCAGAGCGCGCGCGGGCAGCAGGGCGCTCACTAGCAGCAGGGCGTGCGGGCAGCGGGGCGCGCGAGCAGCAGGGCACGCGCTAGCAGCAGGGCGCGCGATAGCAGCAGGGCGCGCTGGCAGCAGGGCGCGCGCTAGCAGCAGGGCACACTGGCAGCAAGGCGCGCAGGGCGCGGGAAGCGCAGGCATGCGGGCGGAAGGGCAGCGCGGGCTGCATGGCGGCGCGCGGGCAGAGCGCGCGGGCTGCAGGGCGCGCGGGCGGCAGGGCGCTCGGACTGCAGGGCGCGCGGCTGCAGGGCGGCGCGCGGGCTGCAGGGCAGGGCGGCGCGCGGGCTGCAGGGCGGCGCGCGGGCAGAGCGCGCGGGCTGCAGGGCGCGCGGGCTGCAGGGTGCACGGGCTGCAGGGCAGGGCAGCGCGCGGGCTGCAGGGCGTGAGGGCAGCAGGGCAGGTACGACCGGGCAGGGCAGTTCGGGCAGTGCGAAACTAACGGTGGGCCCTAACGGAGCGGTCCTACGGAGGGACCTGCTCTGAATACCATGTCATAACTAAGGGACAAGGATGAGTGCATTAGCATGAAGAGGTAGTACAAGTAGTCCTAACCCTAATGGGTTGTACTCAGTACAGTGTACCCCAGTACAGCTCAAACAACATATAACATATTTTGACACATTCTAGACTCGGGCTTTAAAGAATCCGGGTTGACACATGTTTTTGTCGGAATCACCCCGTAAGAAAAACATGCTATCTTTGCACCGGACCCTTTAAATGTCGAAGTTGAGCATAATCTTGTCTGGAATGTTCAGGGCATTAAGGGAAAATGCAGATGTCAAGCGACCCAATTGGTTTTTCCTTTTGCGATGGTGAAAACATATATAGTGGGATACTGCAGCGTGACAATGGAGAACAAGCCGTATAACGAATGCTTGCGTTTCCCGTATGTAACGGGGTTATTGCGATTGGGTTGGACTCTCTTCCACGTCGCACCCCCATCCATTAGAGCAGTGCACCCACCTCGCTAGCAAGATGCAGCCAGAACCAGAAACCCAGAACGTTTTGGAAATGTCATAAGTTGCAACCTATCGGAAGTGAAAGTGTAACTGGCAAGCATTATGTAGTGGAAACCCGAATTGCACAGTTGCGGAGCTGGGTTGGTCGATGCGTACGAGTCAAACCACCCCATTCACCCCATTCCCTTGCCCAACACCGAACCATCCCGACCACGGGATGGCGGGGGGGCGCGCGCGGGTCCCCCAGGGCGCCGCGACGGGCGACGGGATGGCGAGGGGGGGCGCGCGCGGGTCCCCCAAGGCGCCGCGACGAGCGACGGGATGGCGGGGGGGCGCGCGCGGGTCCCCCAGGGCGCCGCGACGGGCGACGGGATGGCGGGGGGGCGCGCGCGGGTCCCCCAAGGCGCCGCGACGGGCGACGGGATGGCGGGGGGGCGCGCGCGGGTCCCCCAGGGCGCCGCGACGGGCGACGGGATGGCGAAGGGGGCGCGCGCGGGTCGTCCACATGGGATGGTCCGATGTGGTGATGTGATGTGTGATGTGACACGCTCCACAATCGCCAATACCCTCGTGCATGCACCAAACCTGAGGCCTGCTTGCCACAATTGCCCCGTGCCAAGCTTTGTCACGAAACCCTGGCACCAGACCTGACCTGACCTTTTCGCGGAGCCCTGCCTCTGTGGGTGCAGTGTGGCAGGGAAGGCTGGACGCGTTTCGGGCGAAGAGCCGAGTCAGACGACCCCGAGGCTCGCGACGTTTTCGCGAACAAGCACGAAAGAGCCACCATTCTCTTGAACGGTCCGCGTGATTTCAGGGAGACCGAAGCTAGTGGTTTGGTGGCGAACAAACCTCGCGAAGAGGCGGGAATGGCCACAGGTGCCTAGATGCTTGGTTTCAGTCGCCGGCGTCGCCAAGCCACCCCTTCAACCCCCAATCCTTCCAGTTCCACTTCCTGCTCCAACCAACCCTGCTCTGGTATTTCACTCACCAGCAGTTTACTTGTGTTTACTTTCCGGATAAGGTTTGACAACTTCTGTGGGAGATACAAGTGACAGCTCCTTGCAACCATGGCTCGTCTCTTCTGTGAGCTAGATTGTTTTATGAAATCCTCTTTCGGTGTCAGTGCCTTTCCGATGGATCCGTTGGAATGTCTGGTTGTCCGTCTTCTCTGCTTACCTACCCTTCGACCGTGTGGATGAGGTTGCTTTTTGGACATTCGTCATCTTCGCATGGATGGGTCGTCTACGCCGAGGTCATGTCTTCTCTTAAACCACGATGATTGAAGCTGTTTCGGCTTCCAGGTGGTTGCTGGACAATAGAGGTACTACCGCTGCTATTCATCTACTCTGATGGTGGTGATTCCGGCTACGGTATTGTTGAAGCTGCAACACTCCGGGTTCTGTCTCTTCGGTCGCTGCATCTTTGCCCGCTGTCGCTGACGATTGTTACTACTGCAAAGCTGTGGATGCTGACGATTATTTGAGGTTAACCACTGAGGTCGCGACGTCAACGTTTACGGAGCGTTGAGGATGAGAACGCCAGCAGCTGCTCTTGTGTATTCAGCTACAACATCGGCAGACGAGCCTTTCGCGCGAGTTGGATCTTTCGCCACGGGTGGTAAAACCTTTTCTCGCTCGAGTTTGGAAGAGAGCGTGTTGCTGTTTTTTCTGTTAATATCCACGAGGAGCTGGAGCTGCCGGGGAGAGACCTGTGCATCATCGGCTTCCCTCCGGCTCTAGGCTGTTGAAAAGATATAAAGTCGTTTTGGATTGCGTCATCCTCCTACGAAGACTTCGTACTTGGGCTCGACGGTTTCCACCTTGATCGATGCTGTGTTATCTTGTTGATCTGTGTATTTCTGTTCATGGCTTTACTGTGTATGACAGGTTCAACGTGGTTTTATCTTGTTGTATACTTCGAAGTGGAAAGACGATATTATGTTTCTGTTTCTATTCGTCTGCTACAACTAAACAGGTCCTAAAAGGCAAGCCAACCCTGGAACTTTGTGGCAGTTGTACACCCTAAACTCTGTGCTTAGTCTCATGTCTGTAACAGCTAAACAGGCTCTAGAAGCATATCGAAGCAAAAGATTCTCAAAGGCCAACGTAAGAAGTGAATCAATTGCAAGTTGGGCGTCTCAATAACGATCCATCAGGTTGTACGTGTACCTTCCATCTGCACCGTTTGTTCCTGGTGTTTCAACAGCTGCAGGCGACAGGAGATGTTAGAACCTTCCACTGGTTTAGCATCGCCAGGTTTACCTTTTCCTCTCGCACGTAAACGCCTTAGTCGGCAATAGTCTACTTGCTATTGCTTATCGTGTTCTCCACGATCACCCGATTCCAATGATATGCGCAACTCTGCTTGAAGTTGTCAATACACACTTCAGCAATTTTCAGAATCTCCAAGTTATGTTTTCCAGAATGAGTACAAGCAGTTTTATAGTCAAGCAAGTCACAAAATGCGATTCGTAACTTCACTTGTTTCCCAAGTAACCGCGTGCGCCTCGTTTCACCCCGAGTCGCACACGGAACCGAACCGAATTCGGTGAACACTCCTCAAGACCGAATCTGGAACCTTCTCGAACGCGCCTTGGTCCCAGACCACAATTTCCCCCGTCGATCTCATCCTCGATGCTTCTCCTTCTCTCTTCCTCCATTTCTTTGGTTCCTTCTCGATTTCTCTCCCGCTTCTCACGCCGTAGGCTGATTTCCACCGTTTCACCTAGAATCATCCACGCGCTTCCATTTCGCCGTCATTCCGCCGTCGTAGAGACTTTCGCCATAGGTTCCGTGGTTGGGCGAACCAACCCTAACAATCTCCCATGTGGTTCGTCAACCACGAACTCCACTCGCACTCCTCCCCTGCTCCTTGTAGCCTTCACAGGGTCTAGGTCGGCTTCACACTCCCCTGCAGCTCCTGCACCTTGAACCTCTGCTTACGTGTCTTGAAGTTGAGCGCCTTGACATCCAAACCTTGAGAGATTTTCTTAAGCCTCTCACTTCTCCTCGGCATCTTTACACCCAACACCTCTTGGGTCTCGTACCCTTCAACGCGTTCATCCTCCTTAAGCACTTGCCCCTTTGCAGTTGCATTCGCCTTTGATCCTTTCACCATGATGTCCCTTTTCACAGCTTCAACTCCCACACACTTCACATTTACTGCTTCATCTTCAACCACGATCGCTGCTGCAAAAGTGTTGACATCGTCTCCATCTCCACCGTTTACTGCTGCTGCCTCCATGGTCACTATCTCCTCTTCCTGCTTCACTGCTGCCTCCACACTCGCAGCCATATCATCCGAGTCCTCACTCTCATCATCCTCAGTAGACTCAGGATCCTCATAAATCTCATCCTTATCGTTCGTCGCGACCAAGTTCATCTCATAGAACCCATCACTGAAGTAACCATCAGCATACTTCTCCCACTCAGGACCAAACACTGTAACCTCGCCTTTGTCATAAAATATCTTGCACCCCAAGTCATCAAGCTGTGACTGACTCATCAAATTCACCTTTAAATCCTCAACCAAGAGCACATTCTCCAGTTTCACCTCTCCATACGGACTTTGCAGCACCACGTCACCCTCTCCTGTCACTGGGAACTTCCCACTGTTACCTTGCAGTATATAACGCTCACTCGACTCCCTCACGTTCTCCATCCAATCTGACCTGAATGTCATGTGACGCGTGCATCCGCTGTCCATGAACCATGCCGTCTTCCCACGTCCGTCCGTCTGACGAACATCCTTCGGTAAACGCACCACGTTCGCACGATGCGCTCCTCCCAAAATCACATCCTCCTTTTCGGCTTCCGCTACATTCGCCTTACCCGCCACAATCCTCTGCTGCGACGGACCCTTGTAGCTCCTGCTGTTCGGATTGGAGTAGCACTCTGCGGCACGATGCCCATAGCGCCCACAATAATCGCACTTGCCGCCAAAACCTCGTTTCTGTTGCCACTCTGCTCCCCCATTTTCTCCTTTCTCGTTCTCCACCGCTTTGCCCTTGTAGTTTCTGCTTCGCGGGTTTTCGTAGCAGTTTATCGCCTTATGCCCCCTCTTTCCACACTGGTAGCACGCTCCAAACGCCTTCGTTGCATTCACCAAAGCCTGCCTTTCCTCGTCGAAATCCGTAGCTGCTGCTGCCGCTTTCTTTTTCCTCATCTCCTTGACCGTCTCAAGCGACTGTAGAATCTCCTGCAGCTTCGTCAAACTCTCCGGCGGTTGGTACGTAAACATACCGATATCAGATTCCCACTCCTTTGGAAGGCCTTGGATGATATAGTCGATCATCTCGTGCTCCGTCTCCGCGGCTCCCATCACCCGCAAGTCGTCGCTGTAGTTTTTCGCCCTGTTGATGTAGGTGATGATTTTCTCGCCTTTCTCCATGCTCAGCATCAGCAGTTGCTTCCTAATCGCCTTCTTGTTGACATCGTTCGTGCCCATGTACGTGGACTCCAGGTACTCCCACGCTTTCTGTGCAGAGTTCAGCTCCCCTGCAAACTGGTCCAAATCCACCGCGATTCCATCGGCAACTGAGTGACAAAGCTGAAAGAACGCTTGCTTACTTAGCTTTTTAAATGCCGCTATTTTCTCCTTCGTATCCGTCGGGGATGGCGCAACTCCCTCCATCGTCTCCTCGTCGGGACGGTAGTACGGCAAGAGGTCCACCTCCTCTGCCCTTCGAATGAACTTCTTTCGCCACACGTTGTAGTTGCTCCCGTTGAAGCGCTGGGCTTCACTGAGCCCGATCGTCGGTTTCGCCACCAATCGGCCACTCGCAAGGGCCTCGAGAAGAGCCTTCAACTGCGGGTCTCCAAGACTTACACTGGAACCCGAACTCGCCTCGTCTCCCATAGCGTAGGCGTGAACGACTCCTCTTCTCCACTAATTTCACTTAGCGCACCAAGTGAATTCACCGCGATCGACGCGCTCGTTCGCCAAGCTCTGATACCAGTTCTTAGGATCGTAAACGCCTTAGTCGGCAATAGTCTACTTGCTATTGCTTATCGTGTTCTCCACGATCACCCGATTCCAATGATATGCGCAGCTCTGCTTGAAGTTGTCAATACACACTTCAGCAATTTTCAGAATCTCCAAGTTATGTTTTCCAGAATGAGTACAAGCAGTTTTATAGTCAAGCAAGTCACAAAATGCGATTCGTAACTTCACTTGTTTCCCAAGTAACCGCGTGCGCCTTTCACCCCGAGTCGCACACGGAACCGAACCGAATTCGGTGAACACTCCTCAAGACCGAATCTGGAACCTTCTCGAACGCGCCTTGGTCTCAGACCACAATTTCCCCCGTCGATCTCATCCTCGATGCTTCTCCTTCTCTCTTCCTCCATTTCTTTGGTTCCTTCTCGATTTCTCTCCCGCTTCTCACGCCGTAGGCTGATTTCCACCGTTTCACCTAGAATCATCCACGCGCTTCCATTTCGCCGTCATTCCGCCGTCGTAGAGACTTTCGCCATAGGTTCCGTGGTTGGGCGAACCAACCCTAACACCTTCCATCTGCACCGTTTGTTCCTGGTGTTTCAACAGCTGCAGGCGACAGGAGATGTTAGAAGCTTCCACTGGTTTAGCATCGCCAGGTTCACCTTTTCCTCTCGCACGTGTTACAATTCTCTATCATCCACCGATGCTTCCAGCAGCTGCGCGTTTTGGGGATTTTGGGGTCTCGAGAAATGAAACCAGGTTGACTGCCTTCTTGTCGCACGTATGCTGTTCTCCCACATTCGACTGGCTGTGTTTCAGCGTCTACAAGTCACGGGGATTCTGGGAAGGGCACCAGGTTGGACCGTCTCATGACACAGACTGACTGGTTTCGCATGCACCCTGTGCCCCTTCATATTTGACCGGCTGTGCGTTTCAGCTTGTAAGTCACGGCTATTATGCGAAGGACACAGCAGGTGGGACTGTCTCATGATACAGACTGACTGCCTTTCTGTCGCACGCACTCTACTCCCACAGATTCGACTGGTCGTGTTTCATCATCTGCAGGTCACGGGGATTTTATAATAAAATGAAGGGGACTGCTACATGGTTTGACTGTCGTTCAATCGCCTTCCCGTCGCACACATTCTGTACTCCCAAGAATTCGACTGGTTTTTGTTTCAGCAGCTGCAGGAGGGCATGGGGATTTCAGAATTCGAACGATGAAAATGAGGTGGATTGCTGCATGGTTTGACTGCCTTCCAATTGTCGTCCGTTCGCACACATCTTGTATTCCCATGGATTCAACTGGTTTTGTGTCAGCAGCTGCAGGGCAGGAGGGTTCAGGTCAGGAGAATAAAGAACCATTCACAGCACAAGCATACTTGTGTCCAGGTTGGCAACCTTCCTTACGCATGCACCCTCTGCTTCGACGATATGGATGACTGTGCGTCGCAGGACTGAACAGTTGCACGCGGCTTTGATTCGGCGGGTTGCATGTTCGTCTGCCTTCCAAAATCTTCTGTTCCCTCATCCACCTTCGTTTGCGTCTTGCATCCCCCTTCGCCTGCTCCCTCACTCCTAGGCTGCATCCTCTAACCTTAGCCCGCTCCCTCCCACCTTCACCTGCTCCCCTCCCACATGCCGGCTAGGTAACGTTCCCGTCACATGCACCCTCTGCGTCGATGGATATGGCTGGATTGTGTTTTGCAGGACTTACAGTTGGGCGGGGCTCCGATTTGGCGCGACTTCGATTCAGCGGCCTTGCACCATCGTCTGCTCCCTCATCCACCTCTCTCTGCTGCTTGCACTCTCGCCTGCTCCCTCCTTAGTCTGCCTCTTCCCACCTCAGCCCGCTGCCTCCCCTCCTTCGCGTGCTCCCCTCCCACCTTCGGACTTCATATGCTGACTTTGTTGCGTTGGAGCATCGAGCATTGAGCTGATCTGCTTCTTCTAACACCCTCCCTTCCATCACGTACATCCAGCCAGTTCAGCTTCAAGCTACGCGTTGCCTCGCGCTTCTTATTCACCAGAGCTTCCATTTCTTCGATTATCGCCCAGCAATCTCGCTCTCGGCGTCTACTTTCAAACGGCGTTTGGATATCCCTGAGCTCGCCAGGTGTACTTTTAAATGGCGTCTAATCCCCCAACTCAGGCTTTCCACCACGTCCTTCTCCTAAGGGCTTGATGTGCTAACCCAGGTCCAGCTCTTTGCGCTGTCCAATCCCTTTCAACCACTCTACATTCACTCTGCTCGACATACCTTGCTCTGGTTCTTTGTTCATTGTTCACGCCCTTTTCGCAGCAAGGCTTGTCACAACGACTTTGGCTCTACTCAGCGTCTGTGCATCCTCGTGTTTGTCTTCATTCAACTCCCTCTCTTCGTTGATCGTCTTCTGGTCCTTTTTGCAGCCTTGCATCTGTGGGCCTTCGTCTCCGGTTTCCTCCGATCTCTTGTGCTCTTTTGCTCCCTGTCCCTCGCTTGCAGGCTGCCACGTGGAGTCTTTCGCGCTCCCATTCTCCTGTCGCACCGTGCCCTTGTGCGTCGTACCCCCGTTCTTTTGTTGTCCGCAGTGCTCTGGACGTGTTACTCAGTTGCATCTCTCAGGCACCATCAGTCTGATTGGTCCGCACTACTATGGTAGTAGCTGACGTTTCTGCTTGGTCTCTGTTGCCTGATTATTGTCACACTTTCGCTAACCTGAAACCAGGTTCAGTTGAAGAATGGTCACCATGCAGTCCCATGCACTCCTTTGATGCTTGATGCTCCTCCTTTCCTCCGTCACCTTGCATCCTCTTGCCATCACAACTTTACTCTTGGTAGCTTCTTTTTCCCGTTACCTCGGTTGTTGTGGGCTTTCTAACCCCACCCGAACACTCTCCCTAGCGGTCGACTAGACTGCTTGGGAGCGCCGTTAAGATCCCCCCTCCGGGATGTTACTTGACAAAATCCCGTTCAGGGTGCCACTGACCTCACTAAACAATCAACATCTCAACATTTAACAATGTGGTTGAGTTTCCCTTGCGTTGCTGTGGGCACCTCTCTTCTTGCCGCCGCTCCGTCCTACCTTTGTTCCTTTCTTGCTGCTGCTCCCGCCACTCCCTCATTTCCCTTCGGGGGTGGTTCCTAGTTTTCATTGCTCTCTCCCTCCCCCTCCCCTCTTTAAGCTTGTCTGCTGCATGGCTGTGCTTTCTCTGCCTGCAGCTCAGACGCTTCAAGTACTGCGCTACCAGCTCATGCAAGCCACAGCTTAAGAACCTTCAAGTGGCTAAGTGCTCTGGTTGTGCAATCAAGAAACTTTACTTGATTAACTTTGTCGCGTTGCTGTGTCTATATGGCAGTCTTGCCTCTGCTGCCCGCTCCCGCCTCTCCCTCTTTCCCCTTCAGGGGTTGGGGTTCACAACGCTTTTTCCTTCCTTCGTCCTTCCCCTTCAAGTTGCATGGC